ACACACACACACACACACACTTGCTTCACTATATTAGTAAGCCCATCTAATAGATTTCTGTATTTTTTCTATCAGGTTAATGACATTAAATGATACGAAACCTGTGCAAACACTAGATTTATGTACAGACATGATTTGGCTGATTTCACTAGTCTGTGTTCAACCGGTTTCACTACATTAGTGAAACTTCACAAGTATAGTCAAACCTGCATACACAGCATTAATAACCTTATTAAATCATGCAAATTTTTCTCTTTGTCTGTAGTCTAGTGTGATATAAAAGTCTATGAAATGACTTGTGTACAGTTGCATATCTGTGTGTTATTGCCTCTATTCCCGATGGATCCTGCTTCTTTCCTTTCCTGTTCACTTTGAATTGGTGGAAGTGCACACTTTGTGCCACTGTGTGTGTGTGTGTGTGTGTCACAGCTGAATCTCAGCGTGGAAATGGAAAAAACAGACAGTTTCAAACAGTTTTCCCTGTCTGCCATTGGTCAGACCAACACATAGTTCAGCCTAGGGCTTGGCGATATGGCAAAAAAAACCTCGATCAACTAGTCAACTTGAAAATGTAACTACAACATGATTCAAGTAACTTTTTCTTTATAAACCCTCTAGTTAAAGAAAATTATATTCCAAGTGCAGCACACGATGTAAATGTTCAACAAATCACTTGTTAAATATCTTTGCAGAAAAGACGCATGAACTACAAATCTTGTATAAACTTGTCTTATACATAAATGTTCAGAAATAATAAGAGGAAAATGCTTAAAAAAATTCTCAAAGTCAAGGTAATTCAAATTCAAAATGACTGAAGAAGGTTTAACACCAGTAGACTATTATTAACTATAAATGTTCTGTAAAAACAATGAAAAATCATAAATAAACAATGAACAGCAGCTTTAATTTTTTTATTCGATTGCACTGCTTTTCCATTGTTTTTCAGTTAATCATTATTTTCTCTTTACTGTTATCATTGGCATATTGTCAAAGTGTAATTCTTATCTTTGAATATCTTTGTTCTCATTTTTTAATAACAAAGATAAAATAATGACAAAGATTTTTATCTTTGCCCACTTTGGCCTAAATATCCGCCTTTTATTTTTTATATTATGCTACCTTGAAAGGCTTTGTCTTTATAATAGGGACATTAGTTTGGATGTAATGCTCAGACAGCTTGCAAAATAGAAAAACCAGCATGACAAAGAAATCGTGATATGATGTTTTTGCTGTATCGCCCACCTCTAGATCGATGCATCCCTACTTTATGAGCTGTGTTTGTGTGTGTGGTTCAGTCGGCAGATGCCTGTGTATAACGGAGATCACCGCTGGCAGCAGCTGAACCCGAGCCCCGGCGGGCCGTACCTGGCGTACCCGATCCTGTCGTCCCCGCAGGCCCCCGTCTCCAGTGATTACCCCACGTACTACCACGCCATCATGCCCACACCCTGCCCTCCTGTCATGGGCTTCTACCAGCCCTTCCCGGGGACGTACACGGGGCCCCTGCAGGCCGGCGCGCTCAACCCCGTCTCCGACTGCAGCCAGACGCAGAGAGGGAGAGGCGTCTCACGAAACCCCGTCCTAAACAAGGTATGAGACGAGTCCTTAAAGGCACAGCAGGGTTACTACGGGGTTTGGAAAAATATGGAAACAAGAAAGCGGAGTATGGAGAAATATTTCTGTTTACAGACTTTTACCCCTATTTAGTTTTTTATAATAGAAAATTAAGAATTTAATGAAAATAAATGTATTGTACAAGAAGTGAGATTTCATGGCAGATGTTTAGTGATTGTCAAATATGCACTTTTTGATTATGCAAAATGCAGGTTATAAGCATTTTGGGTTTCTTCTCACAATATGTGACCCTGGAGCACAAAACCAGTCTTAAGTGTACATTTTTCAAAATTGACATTTCTACGTCATCTGAAAGCTGAATAAATAAGCTTTCCATTGATGTATGGTTTGTTAGGATCGGACAATATCTGAAAATCTGGAATCTGAGGGTGCAAAAAAATCTAAATATTGAGAAAATCATCTTTAAAGTTGTTCAAATGAAGTTCTTAGCAATGCATATTACTAATCAAACATTAAGTTTTGATATATTTACGGTAGGAAGTTTACAAAATATCTTCATGAAACATGATCTTTACTTAATATCCTAATGATTTTTGGCATAAAAGAGAAATGTATAATTGTGACCCATACAATGTATTGTTGGCTATTGCTACAAATATCCCCCAGCGACTTAACACTGCTTTTGTGCTGCAGGGACACATATTCTTAGCACCGTATTACACAGTCTCAAGGACCTTTGCAAAAAAAAAAGAAATATACAGACTTCTATGTGCGCATGAAAAACCATTAAACTTAGCATATAGGACAATGCACACTGAGCCACCTGTTGCAGCATCAGCCCAATTGATATTAGAGGTAATACAATAAGCAAAGCCAAATTTTGAGCAAGTAGATCTCTGTTAATTCATGTGCATCCATGCTCTCGTTTTATTCATAGTGATGCACAAAGGAAATAGGTTATATAAAGCTAGAAATTGTAATGTGTAAGCATGCAAAAAAATTCCCATTAACAAACTATTCGCATGTGAATAGTTTCTCGAGGGCACACAAAAAGTTTCTTGTGTGCATGTATTTTTTTTTAATTATTTTAGGGACTTTATATATTTTCAGATGACTGTACTGTATACCAAATATAAAGCTGAAAATAATGCTCTATGAACCATTAATGTCAAATATGGTCTGAAAATTTACTGAGAGGTTTGGAAATTTGAGTATGGAATTTTAAAATGGTAAATGGGTAGGAACCCTGGGTTTTCGCCGCTAGAGGTCGCATTTTCAAAACGATAACAAAGTTGAAGCTCGATGACGCTGTGAAGGAGGATGTTCACAGATGAGGTAATGAATTCGGTAACACTTTCTATGAAGCCCATATTTATAATACATTATAAGGGTATTCTTAAGGCATTATAATGAATGCATAATGCATTATAAAAAATCTTTTAATATTTTGTATCATCTCATGAATATTCATAAGAACAGTTTTAATGTATTATAATATTCACTTATTTGTGGTTATAGCTTTTAAGAGTATGATGGTTGCATCCACTTAAGTTACAATGGATTATATTTCTCATTGTAAGTCTCATATCTTACATCTTACTTTACTTAAAGCAGACAAAGACAACTTATAAGTAATAATAATTAAAAAAAAATCTAAAAGCCATAAGATCAGATATCCGATCAGATGAATGTGTAATATGACACATTTGCTTTGAACAATTTTTATTGTACTCTGTTTATTTCTATTATTCACATTATTCTAATATGCTGATTTATTATCAGTTGTGCCGCTTCATATTTTTTTTGGGAAACTGTGATACTTTTTTCAGGATTCTTTGATGAATAACAAGTTAAATATAAATCTTTTCTAACAATATAAATCTTTGCTATCACTTCTTATCAATTTAACACATCCTCGCTGAATAAAAGTTTGAATTTCTTTCAAAAAATGAAAGAATATAAATGTACCGACCCCAAACTTTTGAACGCTAGTGTATATTGTTAGAAAAGATTTCTATTTTAAATAATGCTGTTCTTTTTAACTTTTTATTCATCAAAGAATCCTGAAAAAAGTATCACAGCTTCCAAAAAAATATGAAGCGGCACAACTGATAATAAATCAGCATATTATACTGATTTCTGAAGATCATGTGACACTGAAGACTGGAGGAATGATGCTGAAAATACAGCTGCGCATCACAGAAATACATTACAGTTTAATGTATATTAAAATAGAAAAACTTTATTTTATATTGTAATAACATTTTGCAAGATTACTGTTTTTTTCTGTATATTTGATCAAATAAATGCAGCTTTGATGAGCAGAAGATACTTCTTTAAAACACATTACATGAGTTGCCATACTTTCTACAAGCGTAAACTGAGGATAGTGCGGATATTACGCCGTTGATATGCGACAGTGGATTTTTCTTTGGATTTACAAGTCCTTGGGAACTTTTGGGATAACCTAAGTACACTACTGCATGAAATATATCACACTGTGCAAGCATTTTTTTGGATATTTTATCACGAAAATCGTACATATTGTGCCTTTATCCCACACACTCAAGTCTGCTCACTAGTGTAAACTAACACTCATGTGTGTCGCTCGCAGCAGCCAGTGGCTCAGCCAATGAGAGGCAAGCGTCCCGTGATGCGGAGCGTGGCGGTTCAGAAGGAGGTGTGTGCCGCCGGGCCTGATGGGAGATCCAAGACGGTGCTGCTGGTGGATGCAGCACAGCAGACAGGTACTGAGCTGACCTTTGAACTTTACAGGTTACTTGCAAGACATAAAAGGTCTTTTAAAGCTGCAGTCTGTAACTTTTTTTATGTGTTCGAAATTTACTAAATTAATATCGTAAGCGAGTGCATCATGAATCCATTTTCCAAACCGTGTTCTTTGCTTATCCTGAATCACTACGGTACACCTATAATAAATAAGTGTTTATTTTCGGACTATTTCAGACGGGCACTGGTGGAACCGCTGCGGAGTAGACATAAACAGAGAGAAGAATGTTCTTCTGCAAGACGCACGCAGTTCTGTTCTGTATTTAAAAGTTGAGGACTGCAGCTTTAAGTCTTCCAAAAATTAAAGCCTAGAAAGCTCTTAAATTGCAGCAGAAAGTCATGGCATTAAATGTTGCATGAACTGCAAAGAATGAATCTCTTCCTCAGTATTTTAGTTTTGTTCTAAACGTCCTAAAATGAATTTAAACGGAAAGGAGATTTTTGTATTTTGAAACTGTGAAGTGTTGCTAATACAAGAGGCCATATTGATGTTCCCTTCGATTTGTTCCTTATTAAACGTACTTTCATAAACACTGCTGAACTCCTGCTTTATTCCTGAGCCAGTGAGCCCTGAGCTCTGAACACACTGTGTTTTCAGATTTCCCCGGCGAGGCGTCTGGCAGCGTCAGATGTGCGTCGGATCAGGCGAGTCCTCAGTGGAAGAATAAAGCTGGGCGCAGACACACATCTCAGCAGGAGTCGTCCAGCGAGCAGGGAGCCAGCGAGGCCGAC